TTTTTGTATTCTTGGGCTAAAACGACATTGTACCGAGAACAGCAGCACCGACCTTCTCAGATACACAGATACGCGGTTTATCATAGCTTAAATCTAACAGAACTTTCGTTAAATAAGATGAGCGAGTGGATGATGCCCTACCGAATGGTGTGGGTTTTATGGATCAGAACTCGCAGAATTTTGAGCTAATTGTATGCCCGGCACATAACGACTATTTTTACAGACACGCCGTCTAGCTATATTATCCGTCACATGGATTTGATGAAGGGAATCAAACTTCGCAGCAAATTTGACAAAAAAAGGTGACGGCCGATGGCTGGCAGCCATGGCGAGTCTGAAATGCGATCGGGGAAACAAATTTGGGGGGATAGACCGCAATACTTATCCACCGAATACGTCTAGGTAATGTACATCTTCTGAGTGCATGCACGATGTCATGAGGGAGGCCCTTATATCCAAAGTCTAGCCCTCAGACTCACGCTGATCCCAGACTGCATGTTTTCACAAGTCCTCTTGGTAGTATACAAACTTGCAGGGTCTAGAAGTGATATGCTTACGAGGTACTAATGCATGGGACAGATTAAGCTGTGTATTTATAACCATCAAATATTCGTCTATACTTTATGTTTGCTTCACCTTTACTTTATGAGTCAGGTGAGCCAAATGAAGCACGAGCATTTTTAAATTTAAAAAACATGTTCGAGCAGTACTGTCTATGAATAGGCAAAAAATGTTGTCTCTATTATTCATTAGTCATTTCTTTTTCCGACCTTCGATTTTGCTTAATTCGACCACTGTCTCTGCCCCAATAGTAAATTATGTTCTTATGTTATGCTATTAATGCATTTGGTGTTTCTATGACAATATTTTTCGGACCAGCTATGTGTTCAGTCCTCCGATATTTTACTTCCCATTCTTCTCCTGGCCTCTTTCCCTAAAGTCACTGATTAGCAATCTATAATGGGGGATTTTGGTCTAATACTCATAGATAACTGGCAAAAAGTGAATGCCCCTGGTGGCAATGTTCAAGGTGCAAAGGATCTACTGGTCCTAGGTCGGACCAAATGGTCTAGGAGGATAGACTCCCAGACCCTTTGGTACGAGTGCCGCGTGAATGCATATCTGGGTG